ACATCAACATGCAAATATCAACAACAACATAACTCACAGCAGCAACAATAACAACAACATCCAACCAAACAAACAACACGTTCAAAACAGAAGTTGTAGAAACAACCAAAACAAACGCCTGCCAAATTATATATAACTAAGCCAAGATGTCCCAATAAAAATCCATAGCTAATGCCCCATCTTCAAAACAATAATTCAATGCTGATAGCATCTCAATCAACAATAACAACGACAACTACTTTTGCTGCTTCTGCTACTACTACTACTACCACAACAACTACTACTACTACTACAACTATTACTACTACTACTACCACTACTACCACAACTACTACTACTACTACTACTGCTTCTATTACTACTACTAGTACTATTACTATTACTACTACTGCTACTACTACTACTACTTCTGTTACTATTACTACTAATACTACTACCACTACTACTACTATCATTACTACTACTACTACTACTACTACTTCTGTTACTACTAATACTATTGCTGCTGCTGTTACTAATTCTAAAATAATATTTCTACAACTACTACAGCAGCTGCTGTTGTTACTACTGCTGCTGCTGCTGCTACTACAAGTGCTACTATTAACATTAGCGATTTTTTTTAAGTTTTATTTGTGGAAATTTCATTTCTTGCTAAATTTTAAATTTTTCTTGGCTGTGGGATTAATTACATTTCTATGGTTTTTTAAGCCGGGAACGTTTAGATCATTTTGATATCTATGTCGGATTATTATTTTTCTCTCATGATTCAAGAATTAATTTAGCTCTTTCATTTCTATGCATGTTGAATCATTTCAATCAGTGTTGAATTTCTGCTTGAAGTGATTTCCAACTAAAGCCTCTCCTCTTAGATTGTTTTTTTTTTCTCCACAAATCAAGCAAATATTTGCGTGTATGGCTACAAATAAAATTTGCCAACTGGTTTAATTACACCAGCGCAAAGTCGAAAAACTCACCGCACCTGCCATAAAGCATTCATTCATACGCAACGGTAAATTTAATAATTCTAGACAATACTGCAGATTCTAAAGTAACAAAAACCACAATAAACAAATCAGCAGTGGCTAAATTTTTTGACAACTTAATGGTCAAAGTGTCTGATACTGCTATTGCTGTGACAAAGTTTGAACGCAAGAAGATCCCGGCATATCACACGCGATGTATGTAATGCGTGCATCAACATGTCGTTGCTTATGTATACAATGCGTTTTCGTTGTTGTTGATATTTCTGAAAAATACTATACAGAAAATTTTGAAAAAAAAAAATTACTGAAGATTGTTTATTAGGCATCTGTTTTACCCAATACCCAACGTTAATTCGCAAGCATGGAGGCGCATTAAAAAATCCGAGCAAGCGATGTAAATACATGTTTCGGATGTATTATGGAATAGTTTTATTACATTTGTTGCTGTTGTTGTTGATGATGATGTTTGTTGTTGTTGTTGTTGATATTATTTATTGATGTGATTTTGTTGTTGTTGCTGTAGTTGTTGCTGCTAAATTTGTCGTTAATGTTATTTTTTAATATTTTGCCGTCGGTTAAAATTAAACTTGCTGATGTCATTGATTTAAATATTTTTGCATTTTCTGAATAAATTTATTTCTGCTAAAATTAAGAATCTATATTGTTTCAATTTTTAAAATTGGCGATATAAGATTATCTTCACATGATGTCACTCTCACTCCTCAACATAGGCACTCCTCTGAGTTGTTCGTCGAAAAATGATTCTAAAGTTGAACTTGATTCTAATGTATTTTGAATGATTTCCTCAAATTAATTACTGACGCTGAACAATTACAACGCCATCAAGAAGTGTGTTTGCCTCTTGCATGGCGCTGAAATCAACCGGATAGAAATGTTTTAAAGAAAAGTTTTTGAATGGCTATAAACTTGTTAAAAAATTTAATTAAAAAACTTATTAATTTAGATGCTTATTAAGCACACAATCAGAAAAATGAATTAGGTGAGGAAAATGAATTGTGTAATGAAAGAATGAATGAATGAGTGAATGATCGAGTGAGTGAGCGAGTGAGTGAGTGAGGATCAATTTCATATGAGTGTGTGCTGATCTGCTTTTGTTACTACTGTACTAAATAACAAAGTACAAATCTGTAACAAAGTAACACATTTATAAAGATTTTCAATCAATAAGACAAATAGCAATTTACGATAATAGTTTGTTATTAGCGTTAGGATATATATATGATCCTAATTTTATTTGTGGTAATAATAATTATCATTTGTGTGTGTGTTTGTTTGTGTGTGGTATGTATGTGTGTATGTGTTTGTTTGTTTGTGTGTGTGTGTGTGTATGTGTTAATGATATGCATGCAATTTGGTAAGTTGGAATTTTAAATGTTCATTTCGTAATTTTTTTTCCTTTATTTATGTGTTGTATTTTTTTCCGTTTTGTTTTTGAAAAAATTTTCTCTGAAAGCAAGCTTTCAGCAATGTATTAAACGCTCATTGTTATTTATCGTTACTTTAATGTCATGTGCGTTGTTGTTGTTGCTGCTGCTGTTGCTGTCGTTGTTGTTGATGTAGTTGTATGATACTTGTTGCTGAAGTTGTTGCTGGTATTTACTTTGTTGTTGTTAATGTTGTTTCAGTGTTGTAGTACTGTGAGTGTGTTTTAATTGATGTTAAAAGCAGCAGATTTCATTGTTGTTTTTGTTGCAAAAAGTTTTCAATCAGTAATTATTCATCATCATCATCATTCTCAACCTCATCATCATCATCTTCACCATCATCGTTATCATAATCAAAGCCGCACATCACTCTCACTGCCATCACCATTACCAACATCATATTCTTAGTTAAGGGTGGCCTATCCACAAGTTTATCTTTTTTGGTTATCCTTTAAATAAAGAAATAAAATAAAATAAATAAATACTCACCACCATTATCGTTATCATTATCGGAGCCACACATCACCACAAAATTTTCCACCATCAGGTCAGTTTGGTTGGCCTAACTGGAAACATTTCCTTCAACGAACATGGCTACAGGCAGTATTTCAATCTCGACCTTCTATCGCTTGAACTTAATAGGCCCCTCAAAAAAGTATTCAGATTCTTCTTTTGAAAATCACTTTCTTTACCAATCCAATCTTTGATTTTTAAATTCAATGCTATATCTATTCAATGTTATTCACATAGATTAGTTTCTTTCCAATCCAATCTTTGATTTTTAAATTCAATGTTATATCTATTTAATGTTATTCACATAGATTAGTTTCTTTCCAATCCAATCTTTGAATTTTAAATTCAAAGTTATGTTTATTTATTTATAATTCACATAGATTAGTTTATTTATTATTTACATATATTTTTAATAAAAAAACTCATTAAGTCATATACACTCCGATATATTTTTACAGATAAGTAAGCAAGATGTATTTTTTTAGAAATCATCTTTTGGAAAATCAAGTTTTTCATTGTTTTATTGTTGCATAGTTTACAGAAGTCATTTCTAGCATATATTTTATCCTCAATGAATGTCTTGAAATTATAGTATTGAAATCATCATCGTCATTATTATTATTATCATCATCATTGTCGTCGTCATCATCATCATCAACGTCGTCGTCATCATCATCATTATCATCATATCATTATCATCTTATCATCATCGCCATAATCATCATATCATCATCGTCGTCATCATCATCATCATCTCACAGATAGGATATTGGACTGAGGCCAGTGGTGTTATCATTGATAAACACAACGGAACAAGTGACTATCATCATCATCATCATTAGCACCATCTCATCATCATCATCAGCACCATCTCATCATTATCATCACTATCACCATCATTATCATCACTATCACCATCATCATCGCCATCATCATCACCATTATCATCATTATTATCATCACTATCACCATCATCGTTATTATTATTATTGTCATCATCATCACTTCATCACTCTGATACATAAATGATATCATCATAATATTTTGAGAATATTAAATGGTAAAACTTGGTGGTTCTTAAATGGTGTCATGACAATATTTGGTGGTTTTTAAATGGTATGGAGATAATATTTAGGAATTTTTAAACAATAAAATGATAAAAATCAGTGATAAGATATGATGAATCTTCAACATTTTAATGATATCAATAATAGGCCGTGTTGATCATGGAGCAAATGCCTCTTACATTGTCACAACAGTTATGGTAAGTGTGGTTGTGTGTGTTTGTTTGTGTGTGAGTATGTGTGTGTGTTTGTGTGTGTTTGTTTGTGTGTGTGTGAGTATGTGTGTGTGAGTGTGTTGGATTGCGTTTGTTAGTGTGTGAGTTTATGTGTGTTCGGTGAGTTTATGATTTCTAAAATGTAAATTCTTCATATTTGTTTGTTATATATTAAAATGTTTTGTTTTATGCGGATAAGTTTATATGCGTGTGCGTGTGTGTGTGTGTGCGTGTGTGTGTGTGTTTGTAAGTATGGGTGTGTGGGTGTATACGTTCATGTGAGTTGGTATGTGTGTGAGTGTGTACTGTATTTTTCATTTTTCAATTTTAAAAAAAAAAGAGTCGTAAAAACTAAAACTGAACTTCTCAAAAGAACATTATGACAGCGCAACAACCTCAATTCAATTTTATGACGCTTAACAAAAGATTTTCAATTTTGCAAGTACTATGTAGGTGTTTGTGTGTGTGTGTATTTGTGCGTGTGTGTGAGTGTGTGTTTGAGTTAACGTATCTATTGTTGTTTGAGTGTGTAATTATGTCAAAACGGGGTCGTTTATACAATTATTTTGATATCAATGTTTAATCTCTGGGTTGGGCGCTCCCTTGCTCCTATGTGTGGATGTGTGTGTGTGTTGTGGTATGTGTAGATGTACGTGTGTATATATTGCGTTTATGTTTATTATTATTATTATTATAGATTAATAGATTAATATATAGATTAATACTCTATTTATTGCATTTGACACTTTATTTCATTTCATTATTTATTTTACTTGTACTGTCATATTTTCATTGTTTTTATTGCTGAATGAAAGATTGTTCCCATTATTATTATTATTATTATTATTATTATTGTTATTATTTTTATTGTTATTATTATTATTATTATTATTATGACGTAGGAGTCGCCGTACCTTATGCTGAAGAGGAAGTTGGTTGGCGATGAAGGGAAGGCTATAACAGGCAATGACAGGTTATGATGATGACGACGATGATGATGGTAGTGGTGATGATGATGACAATGATGATGGTGATGATCTTGGTGGTGATGATAATGACGACAACACTTTTTAATCTGAAAGGAAAGGACATTGTAGAATCCAAAGATAAGGCCTAGAGTACAAAACTTGTGAAAACAAACAAGAGTTTTAGAATCAGGTAAAATTATAGAAGGAATAGTGATAGGATGTTTAGATTTATTACAACAAATTAATTCAACTTTAGAAATATTAAGTTTAAAACATGTAGAGTCAGACCAAGTTATAATTGAAAAAAAAACAAAAGAGATAAAATGACTTGATAGAAATTTCCTGAACTAAACATCATTCCAGGTACGACGGATTTTGCGCCGACCTGGCTATCTTCCTGTCCCAGATCGTCAACTTCACTTACGTCCTCCAGGAAGTTAAGGATAAAAAGTACGGAGCCGAACTCCCAGATGGAAGTTGGAATGGGATGATCGGCGAACTTATAAGAGAGGTTTTGTTTTTTGTTTTTTTTTTAAATTTTATTTTCATATAATTTACAAAACATTAATTGGTGGCTTGAAAAATATAAATAAAAGGATATACAAAAGTTTTAAAAAAACATTGAATGCTATTTTTAATTATTATTTCCTTTCAATCGTCTGTTGTTATTTGCAAGTGCTTCAGTTAAGCTGACATTCTTCCTTTGTCATTTTTGATTCGCCAGATTTGATGAAACATAAATTAAACAAAAAAAAATAAGAAAGTAAAAAATTAAAAAAAAAACGCAAACGACCGACCACGCAGGAAGCCGACCTGGCCATCGCACCCCTCACGATCTCATCCGTTCGGGAACGTGTCGTCGACTTCAGCAAGCCCTTCATGAATCTAGGCATCTCCATCATGATCAAGAAACCGGAGAAACAAAAACCGGGCGTCTTCAGCTTCATGGATCCAATCGATAACGACATCTGGACTTGCATCTGCTTCTCCTACCTTGGCGTCAGTTTCACGTTGTACTTCGTCTGCAGGTTCAGTCCGTACGAGTGGCAGGATGAAGAGGAAGAGGAAGAAAATGAGGATGAAGATGAGGAAAAAGAGAGAAGAACAAATAATTCTTCCTCGCCAGTCAAGAGTGATAAAGTGAGAAGATTTTGTTCAAAGAGCAAACACAAGAGAGATTTCACGCTTCGTAACAGTCTCTGGTTCGCCTTGGGAGCCTTCATGCAGCAAGGAGTGGGTTTGTCGCCCAAGTAACAATTTTATTTTTTTTTAGAATTTGTTTGTTCGTTTGTCTGTTTGGAGTCTAAATTTTCTTGTCATCGTGAATCATTTAAATTGTTCAGTTGATGTTGGCAAAATTATATCTAACTTAATTTTTTCCTTATGGGAATTTATTTAATGAAACCTGAAAAGGTCTGCTATGCATACGCCCCAACAATTCTTCTGAATAACTTTTCATCCCAGCTTCCGCTCAAAAAGCACAAATCCAGTTTTTAAATCACCCAATTCTACATCCCTATCCCACAGGTCCATATCCGGTCGTTTGATAGGGAGCAGCTGGTGGTTTTTCACGCTGATCATCATTTCGTCTTATACGGCCAACCTTGCAGCTTTCTTGACAGTCGAGCGAATGCTGACCCCCATCAACTCGGCGGATGAACTGGCCAAACAGAATGAAATCCTCTACGGAACTTTAGACTCCGGGTCGAGCAAGGCGTTTTTTATGGTTAGTCGTTTTAGGTTTGAGAAAAATCTCGAAAGTTTTATTTTAAATTTAAAATAAAATACTTGAAATATAAAGTTATTTGGAATAAAAATGTTTACTTGAATACAACTTACCCCATGTTTTATTTGTAAAACGCATTTTAAGAGCTTGAGACTTGTGTTGTGATGATGAATTTATTTGTATCATACTTTCTGCTTGATCATTTTCACATTTAAATTCAATTTTATTGTAATATCATGTGCAGAAAATTGATATACACGTATGGAAAATAAGAATAGGATTGCTTTATGAGACCTAGATTATAAAAATTCTATAATTTTATTCATTTGTTAAGTTTTCGAGTATAGTATTTTATACACATCACATATTAAATCTATTATATAATAACATAATTATTTTCGCTATAAATTTGTATTTTTTTTGATAATATTTTTAATAAAACTAATTTTACACAAAAAAATGTTGCCAACCAATTCCCACTGAATCAGAATTCCAACATATCAACATTCAAAACAATGTGGGCTAATATGCTAGCACACGAATCAAGCGTATTTGTGAAGACCATTGACGAAGGAGTTGCCAAGGTTTGCATGGTTTTTTCTTCCTTGTTAATGAAATTTAGTGTGATTTAATGTGGTTTAATGTTATTTAATGAGATTAAATATGATCCCATTTAACGAGATATTATACCAATTCACATTTCACTGATTCTCGATACCTTGGTTTAAAATTCAGGATATTGAAAAAGTTTCAAATGGCCGAATGTTACCATTTAACATTACGTTATTATTACTTTTACTGTCATTACCATCAGCAACAGCAGCAGCAGTAGAAGTAGTAAAATTTGTAGTTGCCGTACAAATTAGTAGTAGTCAAAGTATAATTAATATAATTCATTATTATAACATAATTATTATATATATATTATTATAACATAATTATTATATATACATTATTATAACATAATTATTATATATAATTTATCATATATAACATAATTATAATATCGTATAATTATTATATCTTTACCAAAGGTTCGAACATCCAAAGGCAGATACGCCTTCTTACTTGAGTCAACCATGAACGACTACCACAATCAGCGGAAACCATGCAACACGATGAAAGTGGGGGAGGACTTGGACTCCAAGGGCTACGGGGTAGCTACCCCTATTGGTCACGTGCTCAAGTTTGTTTATAACAATTCATTTTCATTTATTTCCTATTTAGTTATTTATTTTGTTTGTTTTTTATTTTCTACAAAGTCAGAGATTTGTTCTGCGTGTTAGATGCATATGCCTAAAGTTTAACACAACTTTTTTGTAAAATTGTAAGTAGACGGTCAACAAAAAGGCTTTTGATTGTTGTGAGTTTTTAAAAATGGCTGCAAATCTATCAACCAGGATGGATTTTCGACTTGACAATTATTTGCTCTTTTATTTGTTATCCATATTTTAGATGAGATCAACGCGAGAAATTGCACTGTTTGAGCTAACCCAAGACCCGAATTTATGAAATGGTTTTATAAGGCATGGTGTGGTTTCAATTGTTTTTTTCCTCAATATTTTTATTCCTTTCTATTGATGTTTTAGTTTTTAATACTTATTTTTGCTATTTCTTATTTTTTTCTAACGTTTTGATGACAATTTTTTTGAGAATATTATTTTGAAAACTATTTTGTATAAAAAAAACAAGACAGCAAGTTTCCAAACTGATTTAAAAACTATCTTAATAAAAATTTGAAGCGAAAGATGCGAAAGAATCTTTTTATATACACGTTGTATCAGTACCTGTACATACACTATGACGCTATTATTTCCATGTCCATATCGTGTTGAGTTGATGAATACGTGTTTCAATTATATGAGAGGACGTGATTGATTGACCGGCCAACTCGCCGAATGATTGTGAAAAATGGTTGAGTGATTGATTCGCTGGTGGCAGGTTGGTTGGTTTGTTGACTGGTTGATTGACTGGCTGATAGGTGGATTAATTTTTTGATTGATCGGTTATTTCATTCAATGGTTGATTAGTTTTGATTGCTTTTATAAAATTCATTGAGACTGTAAAATTTTGTTCTAAAGTTAGTTTCGAGATATTGTTACAGAATATTTTTGCACCACAAAGTTTTTAGAGTGCCAAATACCATTTCAAACCAACATCAAAACATGAAACATACTCTTCAACATATCAAAGCCTATTTAATCAACGACTGACGCAACAACAACAGTAACAACAACAATAGATCATCAAAAACAAAAAGCTTACGACTAATGAAAAACATCCCCTAAAGCCTCACTTTTGAAAAACACACAACAACATCAACAGAAACAACACAAAACAACACAAACGACAACACAAACGACAACAACGAATACGTGCATTAAAAACCAAGTAACGTCACAATGAAATTATCATGCGTATTGTGCGTACATATCTCCTGTTAGCGGCCGAACGCTGAAAGAAAATTCTGTTGCTTCAAACTGCATACAACTCGTTTCTTGGCAGATGGCATGCGTGTATGTGTGCGTGTATATGCGTTCGTGTATGTGTGCGTGTATGTGCGTGTATGTGTGCGTGTATATGCGTGTATGTGTGCGGGTATGTGCGTGTGTATGTGTGCGTGTGTATGTGTGCGTGTATGTGTGCGTGTATATGCGTGTATGTGTGCGTGTATGTGCGGGTATGTGCGTGTATGTGTGCCTGCCTGTATGTGCATGTATGTGTGCCTGTATGTGTGCGTGTATGTGGTAATGTATTTATGTGTTAGTGTGTTGATGTGTTCCTCTATTTATGTGCGTGTGCATGAAAGCGTGCATAATTTAAACGTTAGTGGGAAGACCTGAGATGATGATCAAGTGAATAAAACATTGGTCTAAATTTTTAGATGTATACACGAGTGTGTGTACAACAATCTGTCGTCTGCATTTGTACACTGGATACAAATTTGTTTGTTTGGTAAATAAAACAGTGTATATGATAAAGTTTGTTTACATTCAATTGATTCCAGGAGATTCTTGTTAAGTTTGTACGTGTGTACATGTTAAAACAATTTTTTAAACTGTTACTATGGAGACAATTAGCAAGACGACGATGATGAGGAGGAAGAGAGGGTGATGTATGCATTCACTTCTGTCTCGACATCACGTAAAGGACAGGGTGTTGATGGCACGGTCGAACATTTCTTGCCAAATAAATTTCTGTATGTACGTATTCAGCTGGTCTCGTTGGCCGTCTGTTTTTTGTTTGTCTGTCAGTCTATTTTGTTTGTCTTCTAGTTTGTTCGACTATTGGTTTGTTTGTTTGTCTGTTTGTCTGTCAAGTAAAGTTATATGATTATAAATTACTTTTGCTGGGACGTGGACACAAAACGTTTTGTCAGTGATGAACGTGCTTTAGCGGATTAATAATAGACCAGCGTGTTTGCCTGTATCTGGGCTGTTTCGTTGCTATCAATGTTGGGTTGTATTCGGTTGCGTTTGTGTGGTTGTTGCTCGGTTTGATTGTGTTGTTTTGCTTGTGTTGCTGTTGTTTTGGTGTTCTATTTGTTAGAGCTGTCGACAAGTTGATTTTGCTATATTTCAAATGTTTAGTATTACATGCTCAAAAACAAGTACACGCATTGTACACGTAAGTACGAGTTTTTTTTTCCGAAAATGATCAACTGAGCATACCTTTATATTCGCGTGATTCTGCAAACGCAAAAACACAGGCAATCATTTAGAACGTGACAGTTATGAAACTGCGCATCTTTTTAAAACTCTTCTTAGAATTTGACTATTGGTTGATTATTTATTTCAAACTGCAAACTGCTTATGTAAACACGCAGACAAAAATTAATCGCAAAAACACAAAAGCCTCGAACAAATTAACGAGAAATATTAATAAAAGAAGCAAACAATCCCAAAACACAAATAAACAAAAACACGTACAAACAACTAGACAAACAAACATACAAACAAACAAACATACCAACACAGAAACAAACAAACAATGAAAAGCCATATCCTACCCATTCAATTGAAGGCAGTGTAGCACAAAGCATTGAAAATTGCTTTGCCTATGCTACTGATGCACAATGCCCGCCTGCCTTGAATGCCCTCAATTTTTTTATATTTTGTTTCTTTTTGTTTTTTTTTAAATATTTAGAAAAAAATATTTTTCGAAAAAATTAACACTAATATGAGTTTACCCAATATTTTATGATGTCCTAGAAAACTGCATTGCTTTTTAGTTTAACTAAACTTATTATGAAAAAATTTTTATATAGCTGCTGGCTCTAATTACATCAGATTTCATGATTCATGGAAAAAAGAAGAAATAATAAAAACAGCTAAACTAGATACAAAAAATTAAATACACATATATAACTTTATTTTATATTGACAAAATTATGTGAAAACATTCAAAGATGCAACTTGTGAAATAAGTTTCCAAAACACAATACACAAATTCAATAACTACAGCGATGGCATCTATATCCATATACCTTGCGATAATAATGCACAAATACAACATTTTATTTCTTTGTGTTTATGTGTGTGTGTGTGTGTGCTTGTTTTTGTGTGTGTGTGTGTGTGTGTGTGTGTGTGTGTGTGGTGGTGTGGTGTTCCTTTCTTTTCTGTTTTAAATAACCAAAATTTGGCTATAAGAAACAAATTTCAAACAATATTGTTTGATTTATTTTTACTGAATTGAATAGAAGTTAAAGGTTCTACGTCCATATTTTTTGTAATGTTGGGATTAAAATTGAAATCTATAAACATCTATAAACAGCTGGTGAAACAAGTCAACAGCTTCAGTTATCTCGGAAGTCTTGTAAATTTGATTTGGATATCAAACGAAGGATAGCTATGGCGAAAGTTGCATATTCTAAAATGAAAAACATCCTCACCAACAGTAAAATCAGAATATCAACAAAATTAAAACTGTTAGGGTGTTACATTTTTCCCGTGCTAACTTACGGTTCTGAATTCTGGACAATTTCTAAAGATATTGGAAAAAGAGTAACGATGCTGAGATGGGGTTTTGGAGAAAAATTATGAAAATTAGTTGGACCTTCCTTTCTTCGAATGAGGATGTTTTAAAACAGTCCGATTATGAAAAGAGGAAATTACTACAGATAATCCGACGGGGGCAGTTGAAATTTTTTGGTCACATCATGCCGAAGGAAAGAATGGAAAATCTAACAACTACTGGAAAGATTGCAGGGTAATGAGATCGCGGTCAACAACGAATAACATTCGTGAAGTCCTTGTGTCACTTGTTGAATATCACCGCATTTCAACTACTACGAAGTGTCAAAGATCGGATTTTGTGGAGGTCGATGGTATTCCGAAAAAGTACATTTAAAAAACAAACTTCAACACAAAAATTATATTAATAAACATGACATAACGCAGCTCAATGGTATATAAAACCGAATAAAACAAAATCAGTTGCAAAAGACGACATTTACCACAACATTCGCACGCTCATTCAAACACACACACGAATATACACATTTGCACACTCTTTCTTTTCCTCTCGCTATCTCTCTCTCTCTCTCTCTCTCTCTCTCTCTCTCTCTCTCTCTCTCTCTCTCTCTCTTTATTTCAGTAACAATCTTGACTGTAGAGTGAACTTAAAAACTTCTCAAAACTGGCCATCATTAAAAAGTATTCATTCGCCTTCTGCATGCGTATGTGCACCTCAAGAAAGCACAAACTTGCTCGGACTATGATAATAATGATTTAGAGTTATTGTCCCAACATAGATAATGCACGCTGTCTACCACGCAGCAATGATTCCCTATTATCGTCCTGTTTTCTATTTCCGTTTTTTGCGTTACTTATAATCTTTGGTTGTTTTTTTTAGTTATGTTTGTCATTAATTTGTTATCGACTTAATTGTGTGTTATTTTCTATCGCGTATATTTAGCGCCTGTTTCTTTTTTGTTTGTGTGGCCGCTCGATCATTTTTTCCATAATGAACATTTTTTTATTAAAGTTTCAAGCACATGCTTGCAGTTGAATGTAGTTAATTTATTTCACAACCGATTTTTCAATGCATTTTTTTGTGTCTTAATAAAAAAATTTTCTGTATTGATAGTTTCTCATATATTGCCGACAATTGTAAATTCATTTTATATAAGCTTGTGTTATTGATATTCAAAATTAAAAAATTGAAAAAAATTCAAAATTTGAAAATATTTCTTCAGTTATGTTAATTGAAGAAATTAATACTCTTTTTGAATGCCCCATTATGTAACAAAAAATTTATTGTTCATAAAACGAGTTATAATTGTTAAGTTATACTCTAGTAGGTAATTTACTGCTTTTATAAATACTGAAATGTCAAGAAAACACCTAACTTGAACATTTGCGTGTCTGTTAAATCTTCGCCAGCCATGCAGTAGATGCAGAAACCTATCATGGGATGGTGAACACTCAACTGGTTTTCTAAAGAGAGGGAGTTAAAATGTACTAAGTACGATGAATAGTACGATAATTATGTACTTATTGTGTAGTAATTAACTGATTGCAGTTCTTAATGATTAGGCTTTCTAAATTGAAACAGTTGTGAAAGTGTGAATAAATAATATTTTAAAACATTACTCTTGTGAGTGTATTTATATTTAAAAAAGTTTATGCAAAATTAAATTTATTTGATTCAAAAAAAATTCAAAATTTCTTATTAGGTTAACGTGTTAAATACTAAAACAATTTATTATGAATAAATAAAACATAATTTGATTATCTATTTAGTGGTGTGCGTGTGTGTGTGTGCGTGTGTGTGCGTGTGTGTATGTGTGTGTGTGCGTGTGTGTGTGTGTGTGTGTGGCTATCTATATTTCAAACCTCAATTTTCAGTGCACATTTAACGAGCGTCTAAAATGGCCTAAGCCGAGACAACATCAACTTCGTATGATTGTTTTATATTATTCACTAGCTCAACTCATTTTCCTCTTCATTGTCTGCGGTGAAGAGCCAATTTGAATGGCGAACTTTTACTAATTTGTTGGTGTTGCATTTTTATTTGATGAATTATAAAGTCTTTTGTTGTGATGATTCGAGAACGGATTTAACGTAAAAATTTTTGTCTTCTTTTTAATTTTTCTTCCTAATAACAACAAACAAATAAGCAAATTGTTTTATTGCGGTATAATTAAGCGTAAGATTTTGAATTTTAACTTTAATAAATTGAAAAAACCCACTAGATTGAAAAAAACAATTTTCAAAATTATCAAAAAAATTAAATTATTAGAAAAAATATTACTAAAAATATTAAAATTATCAAAAAAATTATCCAAAGCGGGAAGAAAAATAAGAAGAAAATGTCTGAATTTTCATGAATAATTGAAGAGAAGTTTTAAAAGCTTTAACGCCAATGGGCAAACAGGTGAAGTGTTCTATTCCTAGCAAGTCATCTTGCCTTACAAACTCTGAAGTATTTAGTTTCCCCAAGTCGTGTCATACAAATTCATACGGGATTGAAAAAAAATGCTAAATGCGTATTAATGTACAGAAACAGGTACAAAAATACCGAGTATTTAAATGAGAGTTTTTAGTTTCCATCACTTCTTATGTGTAGGTAATATTTTATATATGTATATATATATATATATATATATATATATATTCATATTTTATAAGTTTAGTTACATCTGGTGTGAACCTTAATGAATATTTATGAGGGCTATGTGCGAGTTTTGCATATTCGCCAAAAGGCGAATATGCAAAACTCTATATCTGTGTGTGTGTGTGCGTGTGTTTAAAAATACATTTGTTAAAAATACATATATATGTAAATACATACCTATTTTTATTGGGATATATTTATGCAGCTGTATGCATGTATGTATGTATTTATGTATGTATGTGTAGGTATTTATGTGTATGTGTGCAGTTTGTAGAATACTATACGCAAATTGTATGGAAGATATATCGCGTATTGTCTCACCAACCACCAGACTATCTATGCAACATATGCATCGGACAAACACAATTGGAAACTTTCTTCCGTTAGTGAACGAAAAATATTTTCTCAATATTCACTCAATTTACGATGTAGGTTCTCCCCTGTTTTGTCATTGCAAGGTTTAGTCCCTCTGTGTGCATGCATGCATGCTGCAAGAGAGCGTGCATGCATTCGTGCATGTATGCCTGCATGCATTCATGCATTTCTGTGTATGCACACTTACCTTAAAATTTGAAATACAAAAAAAGTTACCATTATTATTGATAATAAAAATTTAAATGGAAATAAATTTACAAATTTCAGTCCGGTATTATGTATAAAAGGGGTTTACACAGGATCCCTACTCTATTGAACCCTTCATAAAAACGAAGAAGAATATTATTTTTAACGCACACACACACACATACAAATACACAACACATACAGACACACACAACATACACACGCGCACGCACGTACATCATTCTTTAGTACTAGCTTTTATGCAAATAGCTGGTTACTTCGCCTGGCATATTGGCAAATGTCAGAGTAATGCTATAAATATGCCTCTCTGTTCTTAGATCTCCTCATGTTTCATGGAAGAAAACAATGATGGTTATTAGATTAATTGTTAATTAGTTGTTTAATCACGGTTAATTAATTGATAAATTGATTAGGACCTAATCACACGATTCACAATTATAGTATTCATAATAGTAACCGTGGTGAAATTTCTTTAAAAAAATTATTCAGAGTATCATTTATTATTTAAAAATGATATTTAATTCATATTTTTTTTTTGTTTTAAGGAATACAAGTTAATTTTCTACCTGCAATATATGCTGTAAAGACAATTAAAAGTTGAGTTAGACGTATTTACCTGATAAAATGGATTTGAATGAAATGTTTGATACACAACGAAAGTCATTTTTCTGATCGGATAAAGAAAAAGTAGGCTAGAAAGGTTCAAAAGTAGCATCCGCAGACGAGAAAAAGAAAAAAATGCACAATGCAAAATTTTTATTTCGCCATATAAATTACTTCTGTAACACCACTGGGAGTTTGCCAGTTTATTGTGCAAATAAGAAAGCATATTTACTGCAAAGTTACTTCAGAAGGGTATCTATATATATATATAAATATATATATACATATATATATATATATATGTGCATATGCCTACAGATGTATGTGTGAAGTATTGTTATCCTTATCCACCTGGCTTACTTACCTTTACAATTAATTGTCATATTTATTTGATTGTTAATAGACACACACACATATACACACACAGTTTTTCAAACACACTAACATTACAAATTGTGTGAACTAAGATCTGGCTAGCGAATAAACATGCCAAACAAAAAACTAGTATAAAAAAAAACACAAAAATTCTTCTAAAAAAATGTTTTAAAAAAATTACATGGAGATATGGAGAAATTTAAAAATCGTAATACATAAACTTCAAAGTGAAACTGTAAATAAAAAATGGAAGACATAATTTAAAAATAAAATAGAAGAACAGTACAAAAATCACCATACTATGACGACTTAAGAAAGTTGATCCCTTCTTCTTCCGTAAAAATTACTCTCAGACTTCTGTTTGCAGGGCTTTAAAAGATAACAACAACCTACTCGTAATTTTTTATTTTTTTATTTTGTCGTTCGTACATTCATTCATTTGATTTTTTTATTCATTTTTTATTTTATTTTTTCAATTATTCATTTAATCATTTTTTTTTCGTTTTCTGTTTGGTTACTTGTTCATCTGTTTTAATAAAATGTATCTACTATCTATATTCCTATCAATAGTTACAGTGATAGTATTGTAATGTATTGTTTTATATTGTATTTTATTGTAATATATTGTAATGTAATGTAAAGTAATGTATTGTACAATCATCACTATTTTTAAATTGCAACATCCAAGAAATGAATTTCTCGTAGTAAAAAACTTCACCAATATAACACTAAAACGACTGCAATAAGACACTTTATTTCAAACTCTTTCTAAAGAGTGCCAATAGGCCTTGCAGTTCTTCACCTGAAAGAGCATGGAACCCTCCAGAAGCTTGCCAAAAAATGGTGGTACGACAAGGGAGAATGTCCCGCTGATGCAGACAGCAAGGTGGAAATTTATTAATTTATTTTTCTTAATCAATCAATCAATCAATCAATCAATCAATCAATCAATCAATCAATCAATCAATCAATCAATCAATCAATCAATCAATCAATCAATCAATCAATCAATCAATCAATCAATCAATCAATCAATCAATCAATCAATCAATCAATCAATCAATCAATCAATCAATCAATCAATCAATCAATCAATCAATCAATCAATCAATCAATCAATCAATCAATCAATCAATCAATCAATCAATCAATCAATCAAACAATCAATCAATCAATCAATCAATCAATCAATCAAACAATCAATCAATCAAACAATTCCTTAATTAATTGAATAGGGTGGTGGATCCTTCCAGAGTGCGCTAACACTTAGTAACGTTGCGGGGATATTTTACATTTTAATCAGCGGACTTGGGCTCTCGATGGTCGTTTCTCTATTAGAGTTTTTAACGAAAACATTTCGAGAGGCTAGAAAACAGAAGGTAATTTTGTTTATCATTTACCAAAAATAATTTAATTAATAAATTAATTAATTTAATTATTAGTTTTATTTAGAAATAAATAAAATTGATTAATGATTTTCATATTTACATATTTTATGTCATCAGTGTTTTTAAATTCAACAATGATATTTAATTTATTGAAAAGGACAGTGCTACTGAAATGTAATTAGTTTGGAATATATTTTGATGGGCTACAACAGATAGCTAAACTTTTATTTGTGTAAAGTGATACAAAAAGAAACTGGTTTGCAGATAAATAATCAAATGTTCATTTTACAAACAAATTCACAAAAATTTATAATAACTCTTTTTATTTTGTAAAAACTACAAGAAACTATTCAGCAAAGTGATAAGAGACAGACTAAAACTTCCATCCTCATCTTCCAACTCGCCGACAACCGCAGACCAGCAGCAGCAGCAGCAATTTCAATTGTTTGACGACCAACAAATTCAACACCACCAACAACAACAACAACAGCAACAACAACAGCAGAATCAATTCAATCATCCACTTCAGCAGCACGTCGCCGAGCCCAACCACTACCATTCAACGAGCAACATAAGGTTGCAGCTGGTTGCGAGTCCAACTTTGAAGGTCAGTTCGAGGAAAGAGGCACTCCATAAACAATACTCTTTGCAACAACCACTTTTGCATCATCAACAGTATCAACAACAACAGCAGCAAATCGATCAACGAAATTACGACCAACAATTCAACCAACAACAACAACAACATCAGATTGAGTTGTACACCAAAGAGCCGGTCTACGTCAAACAACAATATTCACAAATTTTCTCGCCAACGTTTAGTCAGCAGTCGCAACAGCAGCAGCAGCGTCAACTGTTCTCACCTCAGCAGCTACTCTCGCCAACACAGCAACAGTATGCAGACAGCCAACAACAACATACACGAGTGTTTTCGCCACAACCGCTCAACGCAAACAACAACAACAACAACAATATTGATTCAACAAACTCCACAACAGCAAAGTGTCTTGTTACAGCCGCTGGTTCAAGTTCAATAAGTCTCGTATAGTCATGTGACCATGTAAACCCTATAGTCACGGGACCATTTAAACTATATAGTCACGTGATTATGTATAAATTATATATACTTATTTATAAATACATGTAGTATAATAATATTACTACAAGATTGTTATTAATTGGTTCAATTGCTATTTCACGTTAATTTCAACCCTAATTTCACACTATTTCTATTTAATTATAAATTTTTAATTTAACAGATTAAGTCAGCTGTTTATAATAATAATATTATTAATAATATATAATTATCATATCAAGAAAAAAAACTAATTGCATGTATGGTTGTGTGTATTTGTATGGTTATTTTATGTGTGTTGTATATATGTGTGTATTTATGTATGTGGTGCGTATGTGTGTGGTGTATGTCTGTGTGTGTGTATTTTCACGTGTATGTGTAAATGCATGTGTATGCGTATCTATGTGTTTGTTAAGGTGTGCCTATTGTAGCATACTTGTGTCTGACGATGATACGTTTGGTTTTGCTGTTTTATTGAAAAATTGTCACTAATGTTTCACTTTTACGAACTTATGAAAAATTGAAAAATTCAATTGATTGAAAATTTTTTTCGTCTAACTTGGCGATGGAAGCAGTTTGTTAGAAGTTAAAATATCCACCGTGATTTAATACGATCATCATTATATTGATCATTAATAACCTTCCCAACTAACATTCATGGATTTCTTTCCTTCATACTCACACACAAACATATATACTCTCATGTGTATACAATATTTATTATTTCCACCACACACATTCATAAACATACACACATACACATACATACAAACAAACACACATACATACATAGATATGTGTGTGTATGTATGTATGTATAAATTATTATGTCCATGGTTTTGTGATTTTATTTACATTGCGTTGCTTTTTTTATATTTTATTTATCCAGTATAAATAAGCAAATTCATAAACAGCCAACAACAATTTTTTTGCAATTTTTTGAAAATTCAGAGTTTTTTTTAAACTTTTTTTAAACTCTATTACTTTTTAAACGTTAAGACACAGTTTAAGATTGGCACAAAATTGTGGGGCAAGCATTTACTAGTTTCAACCGTCAAATTTTGGCTTCCCATCAAAGTCGTTAAGATCTACCCTTTAACAGCTTCGACATTTTAAATCTTTCTTATTTCATCTAGCCGAAGAAAAAATTTTGAATTTAAATTTTAAAATCCTCTACATCAAATACGTTACTCGCATTATTTTTTTTTGTCTAAACAAGATTATACTGATATATTTATTTTCAATTGTTTCACATTAATTTTATTTATTTATCATCTAACTATTTATCACTTAATTATAGTTTAATTATTTAATTACATTTTATTGTTTAATTATTCTGTGTATATTTTTTTTGATTGACCAATGAACGTAATTATGGACATTAATTTTCACACTACACTGTGTCTGTGATCGTATGGTTATCTTGTACGTAGTATTAATAAATATTTTATATTCAAATGAAAAATCTGCAGTAGCTACGACTGCTGCTGCTACAATTACTGTGGAAAACATTTCCAGTTAAAAAATGTGATTCAAACAAAACTAGACTGCTGGTTATTTATTTAATTGATTGATTAAAACAGTAACGTTATCATTCCTAAATATACAACAAGATCTTTTCATAAATGTAAATACAATTTTTTTTATTAATTTTTGGTCGTAATTGTGTTTTTTATTTTATTTTACTTAAAAAAGTTTTATTTTGTTGGTAGGGAGTGGTGATGATAATCACGAGTTCCTAAATTTTAAACACACCAGCATTTGCTTCGTGATAATGACCATACAAGAATTCCAAAAATGTATGACACAACATTTTTCAGTTAAATTTGATCCCTTCCAAGAAGTTTTAAAATCTGAGGCTTAGTTTGAAAGAAGATATTTTGTGGGTCGTAGCCAAATACAAGAACCTAACCAAACGAAAACCAAAAAGATTGTAATTAACGTTATTTCTACTATAAATTTGTTACTTCTTGTAACATTATGCTAGATACATGTATCATATTTGTATGTGTGCGTGTATAATTTGCAAATGTACAGAGTCAGGTAAGTGAATGAATGAATGAATGCGAAACGGAGGATCAGATTTTTGTCACAAATATGTTGACGATGGGATAGCAAACTGAATTTCTTTTTCATGCTTCTCTGCTTCTCGGCCTCAGTGATGTTCGACTTCATGTATTCCTCAACTTCATACGGACTAGTAACCTTCTTTTTTCAATTTCGCAATCAAGTTTAATCTCTGCCTTTTTTTTCATGACTGCAATAACCTGTTTCTCAGCAACACCTGACTGAAACTTCTCTTTCATAGACTGACTTCAAGTTGAGTTTATTACATAAGATATGCTGAAAAGCACAAGTATGAAAAATCAGTGGAAGTTTGTATCGGATGAGTTAGTTACTTCAGGTAAGATTAATTATTTTAATGATTAATATTGAACTCGGGCTCTTAGCTGTGTACACATTTTCAAATAGGCTTGGGAGGCCTCAAAAATGAACACACATATATAAGTATTATTCATTTCTGTAAATGATTTTTAATGCTTAACATGTTATGTGAGGTGGCAACTTGAAATTCTGAGAAGCAAATTTCTACGCCATTTACCACCAACCCCTAATTTTAGGAGTTGATATTGTGCTATATTTTTTCGATCTTAAAATCCATTGGAGGAAACATTTTTGTTAGTGATTCTTACATACAAAACAATCATTTTTTTTTTTTTATTAAAATATTATTTTGCCAACCGACCAACTGAACATTTATTAAAAATTAGATTTTTCACAAAAATATGGGACCATTTAGTGTAATATTTTAGTATAACATTTAGGGATGAACCTTGTCCAGTATAAGATCGACCTACCTACCTACCTATAATCTTTTCAATCCATGTTCACTAAACTAAATAAAAACTGTTATCAGTAAGCAATACAAACCTACATATAAAAAAACGGCTTGAATCAATCAAACTAGCAAGCATTCTAAATTGATAGCCTTGTTTTTTTTCTACAAAATTACATTTTTCTAATGTAGCAATTCTGTAGTAGAAACATTTGTTAGGAACATAATTTAAAATATAGTCCATGCTCATTTTTGCCGGGGATGGTCACTCTACGATCCCCATTGGCACACCCCTGAGACCCTTTGTAATGTGAGCGAGTGTGAAGTAGTATTTATTAAAAAAATTATCGCTAAGTTATTGTGGTAATTTTATTTTATGGAGTTATAAAGTCAACAAGCGTTTTATTTATGGACATTATAATATTTATTAAAAGTAATAATATTATTATTACTATTATTGTACTTTATTATTATTATTATTATTTTATTGTTTTTAATAGTAATAAAAGAGTTTCAACTTTTATTTTAGATTCGCGTTTCTTCTTTACACTCTTATTATTGTAAATAATATTGGTAATAATAATACTAGTAGGTTTTGCAATGTACTGATTTAAATTGAATGATTAAACGTTTTAATGTTATTAATGTTATTATTTCAATAGCTTTTAGAACACTTAAATATACATCCAGATCCATGTGAATACACACACACACACACACACACACACACACACCACACACACACACAAATTTAATTAGAGACATTTTGGTCAAGAAAACATTTTTATTTTAAACATATAAAAAAAATTCTTTACATAAGACTGATTCATGATAATATATTATAATGAAGAATAATGAATTTGTATTGGAAAATAAATTATTTTTTTAGTAAAGTAATCTTATTATTTTACATACATACAATTACAATAACTTTTTGCCATTGTTTGCCAATAGTTAAACGATATGTATAATAGTTCATTTAAAAATGGATTTAAAATGGTGTTTTCATTCAATGTTTTCAAATTCAAATTAAATCACCTAGATTTGCAACAAAATTTTTGATTATTCAATGGAAATGAATTGATCGAATATAAAAGAATGTATAATACT